ATTTCCAATGCTGTGCTCTGTCCTATATAGCCATCTCTAATGATCGTAAAACATGTGGCTTTGCTGTGAGTTATAATACACCTGCAAAGTAAAATTTCAATATAAACTGGACTAAACAAAGAAAATAAACTTGCGTTGTTGTCCAGATAAAAAAAGCAGACAAAAGGACTTTTCTCTTTGTAAACACACCCACATAGGCTTTATACTTCCTGCCACTAGTCACTGGAATAGAGAATAACATTTCACGTTAGCTATAAAGGAAATCTCCAACACTCACAATTTTAGAACTACAGCAAAAAGTTAAATCTTGAGCTCATTAAGTCTCTATAGAAACAATTAGATGTTGTTGATACACAACCTGTCAAAAGCAGTCCAGACAGAAGTATTTCTTGCCTAATAAAACATTTTTAATGAAAGATTCCAAAATCAAACTTTCAATTTGAGCTTGGTGATTCCGTCAGATTAGATTCAAATTAAGCTTCTCTACAGCAATCATGATAGTTTCTAGTACAAAAAATAAATAAATGTATCTTTCAGTTAACCTTTAAGTAATGTGGAAGATCTCTGATGTCAAAAGAGGGTTTCTCTTTCAAAGACTCTGAATAAAGACATTTTATCTTACAAAATGTTGGTCTCATCATTAGGGTTTTTAATAGTAGATAGATTAAAAGTAAAAGAAATTAATTGAAATATGACTGATTCAATACAGAGACAGCTTTCTAATTTTGCAGCAACAAAATCTTCCTGACCATCTTGATCCACAGACTTATTCCTACAGAAAAGGGATGGGACTCCGGAAGATCAAGAGAGACTGAGCAAAGGAAAAGGATCAAAGATCCCTCTCTCTGAACTATTTTTTGGGGACTAGTGGCCTTTTTTATTATTACTGGGACTAAGAAAAATAGGAGAAGTCATGAGTCAGAGGTCAATGGGCTTGAACTCAAACATGTGATGACTGTATCCAGGACAGTGCCTTATATACAGGTCATGTCAAATTAGTGAGTGCAGCATCTAACTGGAATAAAATGAGTCCTTTCAACCTTAAAAAAAAAAAAGAAGATAAGAACAAAGGCTGGCATTTCTTTATATTCTTTTGTTCTGAAGTTTTGATATTTTGAATCATAGTTCCCACTATAATTGTGTCCTTATTCACTTTGACATGAAGTTTTAAAAGGACCCTCAAACAAGGCAGCTAAAGTTCCCTCTGCTTAGTTTAAGGATTCCTTGAAATATAAAGGGTGAATTATATTTATACCTGTGGCTGCATAGTAGTAATTATCCTAATTATTTCAATAGCCAAAGGGTATTTCTGGTGAGTTTTCAGCAATCTTTTTTTCATTGCAAAAGCTTGGGATTTATGTACAGCTCAATCATAATATATTACAACTTTGGGGCAGAGTGGATTCAAATTTACCTTTATATAACAATGGAGTCGAAATCTTTTATTCATTTCAAACTTAAAATCTGAACAGAACTAAGTGAATCAATAAACAGGATAAAACAGAATTTATGTGATATTCCATGCAACCACAGGCATTTTACACTTTTGTATCGTCTGAATTATTAATTGTTCATTCATTTGAATTCAGCTGCTGTTTTTAATTTGGTCTGGCTGACCAGGGATCAGCATGACTCAGAGTCAAGATATATGAAATGGCGAACTAACAGCTGCATGTGAATGAGCAGCGGGGCTCCACCATCCAAATGCAGGGAGCAGCTTGGAGAGAGGCAGGCCGGAGCGATGATGAGCCCATCCCTTGCGAATAAATTGGGGTTGACTTTGTGAGGGCCTTGAAGGAAGGGAAAAGGAATAGAATGAGAATGTTCTGTTGCTGCACTGCAGGATTATATTCATGGAAGATGAGGGACGATGGTAAGTGGGGGAGGCTGTGAAACTTCATGAGGCTTCATGTGTGCAGGGAAAATGCAGATGACCCCTACTATTGTAATGGCTTCATCATAAAATGAAACCATAAAATTCATACTTAAATGGTTAAAAATATTCTTGTTCTTGCAGTAATAAGATATATTTTATATTAATTTAAACAAAATACTAAAACAAATGTACCTGATTATAAGAGGACAGTACTGTAGTCAAAAAAATCTACATGATAAAGAGATAATTTAATCATCTAAGGCCTATTAATCTAATATTTTCTAATGATTTCATTATGTAAAAAAAACATACACATGCCCAAAATAAAACCTTAAGACCTTAAAATACCAAAACTCCTTTTACTTTGGATTGGAGTCAAGGTGTATAAGTGTAACAACACTGTACAGTGAAGTGTTTCATTTGGTAATTTTCTTAATTCTCATTTATTCCGTTATTTTTATAAACTTTTCTAAGGTCAACAATGTTTGACCAATTTTGCTATAAACCTTTGCTGCTGCTGTAACATCATTTCCCCATTTTGGGACAATAAAGGCATTTCATATTCTATTCTATTCTATTCTATTCTATTCTAAACCTTGAAGACTTTCCCAAGCAGATCCCATTTGCCATGTCATCCTTATCCACCACTGCCTGTCTTCTGTTTTCCAAGCCTCCTTACTAGTCAATAGCACCCAAAACTCCCCTTTTTCAACTGCTTCACTACGGCCCAGTCTGCCTTCTAATTAAGCTGCAATCCACCCACACCCCCTTTACTGTACAAGTCTACCTCCTATTCCAATCAGACATACTTATTCTTATAAATCTGCCCATTCTGATATCATCAGCCATAGAAAAGGAATAATCTTGTTGGACATTTTTTTCCCCAAAATAAACATAGCAAAGTGTTTCATGTAAAGAAAAGATTCTACCTAAGTTGAGTGTCATCAAGTTAAGCGAGTTAACTGAGTTGTAAAGGTGTATTGCTGGTTCTGTTTTTTTTTGTTATTGTTTAACTCTAAGTTCCTAAGCTCAGATGTCTCATGAGTGGGAAGCTTCTGAGGGTAGGAGCTATCATATAAGACAGATAAGCCAATCAAGAGTGGAAGTGTTTTTGCCAGACTTAATAATGATAAAAATAATAACAGAATTAATTCAGATTCTTTAAACTATAGAGGGGCAAGAATATCAACAAGTTTATATTGTAGGTACCTATAGTTATATTCACATTTTAATTGTTCACTGAGGCCAATTTTACCCATGGTTGACAACTTAGTAGTCACCTTTTAATACACGTAGGATCAAGTTTGCATTAAATTTAAGAAATCAACTAGCCTGGGTGCCATTCCGAACTTAGTCCCGCCCACAACGTTTGAGGTCGGGAAGTTCGGTCTGGCATTGCTCAATAGTTGCGCGAGTATGCTCGCACAATATCTGGCGGGCCAATCAAATTGTCAGGGCGGGCTTTATATGATGATGGACAGATGATCAACAGTAACGTATTCAACCACGTGACCAAAGCGCGCTTGGGTGACAACAACAATGGCTGCCGCTGGAGAGTTGAGGTGTGTAGATTCTGCTATTAGGTCTGTTCTAGAAGATATCGACAGCAAATTAATTTTAAAAGAGGAACAGAGAAACGCGATCAAGGCTCATCTCCGTTGCTCTCATTGGTTGTAGGTCTATCCAATTGAGCGCAGAGGCATTTTTTCTCCTGGTTTGTTCAAAACATGCCCCATAATCACAGCTCTATGGAGCAGTATCAGACTCATATTCTGACTAGAATTGAGTAGGATTACGTCAGGCTAGAAATTAACCATTTTTTTTCCAAATTAGGAAAATTAGCTAATTTGCATTGAAAATGTCTTTACAGACAAACTCTTTGGATCATGGCACTTCAAGGTCAGAAAAACTATTGGTCAGGGGATAAGAGACCTACTGTCAATCAAGTATAGAACAGCATTTGAATACATTATCATTATCTTAATTATTATCACTAAATTAAAAAAAATATATATATTCTCCCTTCTAAAGGGTCAAGCATGGTCTACTGTTGATATCCATAATTAGCACTGTCTGTAGATGTTTTGAATGTATCATTGAAACTGTATGTTTTCTTTTTTTAACAAAGGCAACAGCAGCATTGCCATAAAAGTGCATGGATTTCTAAAGGGGATTATTAAATTTGAGAGAATAATAAATCCTCTTGGAGACACAGCTTTCTTAGTGCAGCCATGAAGTTCAGCAATTACATCTTTTAAATCTCCCGCAGTGAGAAATGGTGTTAATTAGCATCAGACTGCCTGGCATGATGAGATGAGCTGGTATCACACAGGTGCAATTGTCACTTTGTTTTGTTTAATAACGAAGGAGCTGACATTAACTTGTTTCAAGTGCTTGTTAAGATTTCAGCTGAAAAGCCAAACTTGCTCTTTAAAAGGTCTCATGATTGAATGAGTTCACATTTAAAAGCCCATGGCTGTACTTTGAGCTGTGCGAGTCTGTTCTCAGGTGAGCAACAATTAGCAACCAGGAGAATAAAAAGGAAAACTGTCTAAATGTTTGTTTTGTTATTTTGTTTATCTTGAGGACCTTAAAATAAGTTAACCAATAAACAAGGTACACAGTTAGGAACCATGTATCCCCACCAAAAATAAAATCAAACGTGATACTTTGCGATTATGATTACCTTTATTTTTTTAATAAAATATTTGTTGAAATGGATTAATCTACTATTATTACTTAAATACTATATATACAGTTTAAGACTGGATCTTTCTTAATGGGACTCCAACACATTTTTTCAAATGATGCATATCATTTTATTTCTGTAATAAAGTGGTTCGCAAATTGTGGTAAATTACAAGAGACTTTTCTACTCTCTTTTTACTGCCCGCACTCTTCTTCTACGGTCCATAACAATACCCACAAGTAACAGCACTTCCTAGTGGGCATGTATGTATTACACTTAAACTCCACAGTTACTACACCCCTCCCCTCTTAAGCATTAACAACCAAACTTTAACTTTTCCACTAACAAGCTTATCTTTCATTTAGCTAACTGGAAATCTTTAAGGTAACTAGGCAACCTTATTTGCCTTTTCGATTGTCTCTTAACTGGAGTTACACTCTTTTCAGTTCCTTGTTCAGTCTCTGGCTTTTTCGCAGCTTCCACAGCCGTTGGCTCCTCCAACTTCTCTCCACCGAGAACGACCTCCTCAGCTTCCAGCCATTCTTCATTTTTTTCTTCAGACCCACTAGAATTAACAGGGTCAACCGGTTGGTTGCTGTTGCATTTTTCTGGTTTCGGGTAGTGAGTGTGAATCTGATCCACATGTCTCCTCACTATCCTCCCATCCCCAAGCATCACTTTGTAGGACACCGGTCCAGTCACCGACTCAATGATTCCTGGGATCCACTTTGGGCCTAAACTAAAGTTCTGGGTCAACACTGAGTCTCCTGTTTTGAACCAACGTCCCTTCGCTTTTTTATTGTGATCTTTCATCTGTCTTTCTTGGTTTCCTCTCACTCTTTTGCTCAGATCTGGGTGAATGGAATCTAAGGTACAACGTAGTTTCCTCCCAAGAAGTAACTCTGCTGGAGATAAACCAGTTGTAGTGTGAGGAGTAACCCTGTAGCTAAATAACACTCTGGCTACTTTGGTTGTCAGGGTGCCCTCTGGACATTTCTTCATCATTCTCTTGAATGTTTGTACACCTCTCTCTGCTAACCCATTACTCACTGCATGATAAGGAGCAGAGGTTACATGGCGAATGCCATTTTTGTTCAGGAAGTCCTTGAATTCCATGCTTGTGAAACAAGTGCCATTATCCGATACCAACAACTCAGGCAAACCATGGTTACTAAAGCTGGTTCGCAGGCACTCAATTGTAGTGGCTGAAGTAGCGGAGCTTACTGGATACACATCCATCCACTTTGAATAGGCGTCAACCAGCACAAAAAACATTTTCTCCATAAACGGTCCTGCATAATCCACATGTATGCGGCTCCAAGGCCTATCAGGCCAATCCCATGGATGCAATGGAGCGGGTGCAGGAATGTTGCGGTGCTCTTGGCATGTGGTACAGCTCTTTACAGTGTCCTCCACATTTTTGTCCAACCCGGGCCACCATACATACACTATATTGCCAAAAGTATTTGCTCACCCATCCAAATTATTGGAATCAGGTGTTCCAATCACTTCCATGGCCACAGGTGTATAAATTCAAGCACCTAGGCATGCAGACTGTTTTTACAAACATTTGTGAAAGAATGGGTCGCTCTCAGGAGCTCAGTGAATTCCAGCGTGGAACTGTGATAGGATGCCACCTGTGCAACAAATCCAGTCGTGAAATTTCCTCGCTCCTAAATATTCCACAGTCAACTGTCAGCTGTATTATAAGAAAATGGAAGTGTTTGGGAACGACAGCAACTCAGCCACGAAGAGGTAGGCCACGTAAACTGACGCAGCGGGGTCAGCGGATGCTGACGCGCATAGTGCGAAGAGGTCGCCAACTTTCTGCAGAGTCAATCACTACAGACCTCCAAACTTCATGTGGCCTTCAGATTAGCTCAAGAACAGTGCGCAGAGAGCTTCATGGAATGGGTTTCCATGGTCGAGCAGCTGCATCCAAGCCATACATCACCAAGTGCAATGCAAAGCGTCGGATGCGGTGGTGTAAAGCACGCCGCACTGGACTCTAGAGCAGTGGAGACGCGTTCTCTGGAGTGACGAATCGCGCTTCTCCATCTGGCAATCTGATGGACGGGTCTGGGTTTGGCGGTTGCCAGGAGAACGGTACTTGTCTGACTGCATTGTGCCAAGTGTAAAGTTTGGTGGAGGGGGGATTATGGTGTGAGGTTGTTTTTCAGGAGCTGGGCTTGGCCCCTTAGTTCCAGTGAAAGGAACTCTGAATGCTTCAGCATACCAAGACATTTTGGACAATTCCATGCTCCCAACTTTGTGGGAACAGTTTGGAGCTGGCCCCTTCCTCTTCCAACATGACTGTGCACCAGTGCACAAAGCAAGGTCCATAAAGACATGGATGACAGAGTCTGGTGTGGATGAACTTGACTGGCCTGCACAGAGTCCTGACCTCAACCCGATAGAACACCTTTGGGATGAATTAGAGCGGAGACTGAGAGCCAGGCCTTCTCGTCCAACATCAGTGTGCGACCTCACAAATGCGCTTCTGGAAGAATGGTCAAAAATTCCCATAAACACACTCCTAAACCTTGTGGACAGCCTTCCCAGAAGAGTTGAAGCTGTTCTAGCTGCAAAGGGTGGACCGACGTCATATTGAACCCTATGGATTAGGAACGGGATGTCACTTAAGCTCATATGTGAGTCAAGGCAGGTGAGCAAATACTTTTGGCAATATAGTGTAGCTCCTAGCCAATGCCTTCATTCTGGACACTCCTGGGTGGCACTGATGAAGCTGCCTCATAACCTGTTCTTGACCTGGTTTCGGCACAATCACCCTCGAGCCCCACAACACACACTCGTTCTGTATACTGAGTTCATGCTTCCTTACTTCGTAGGGGGCAAACTCCTCCCCTTCCCGCTTTGATGTCCATCCATTTCGCACCATCTCCCGCACCCTCGAGAGCACCGGGTCTCTGTCCGTCCATTCTTTTACTTGATCAGATGTCACCAATGTTATGTCAGCGCTCTCCAGCATGAGTACTGTCTCTTCCCGTCTCTCTACTTCTGCTTTCACGGGCAAAGGAAGGCGGCTTAGGGCATCAGCATTACAGTGATTTTTTTTCCTTCCTTATACACTATTGTGTATTCATAGGCTCTCAATGTTACTGCCCACCTTTGGATTCTAGGGGAGGCCATCTGTGGTACGGCTCGCATCTCACTGAACAGAGACAACAAAGGTTTGTGATCTGTTACTATAGTGAATTTACGTCCATAAATATACAGGTGCTGGTCATAAAATTAGAATATCATGAAAAAGTAGATTGATTTCAGTAATTCCATTTAAAAAGTGAAACTTGTATATTATATTCATACATTACATACAAACTCATATATTTCAGATGTTTATTTTGTTTAATTTTGATGATTACAAATGACAACAAATGAAAATCTCAAATTCATCATATCAGAAAATTAGAATATTACTGAAGACCAATAAAAAAAAAGGATTTATAGAAATGTTGGCCAACTGAAAAGTATGAACATGAAAAGTATGAGCATGTACAGCACTCAGTATTTAGTTGGGCCTCCTTTGGCCTGTATTACTGCAGCAATGCGGCGTGGCATGGAGTCGATCAGTCTGTGGCACTGCTCAGGTGTTATGATAGCCCAGGTTGCTCTAATAGTGGCTTTTAGCTCTTCTGAATTGTTGGGTCTGGTGTATTGCATCTTCTTCTTCACAATACCCCATATATTTTCTATGGGGTTAAGGTCAGGAGAGTTTGCTGGCCAATTAAGAACAGGGATACCATGGTCCTTCAACCAGGTACTGGTAGCTTTGGCACTGTGTGCAGGTGCCAAGTCCTGTTGGAAAATGAAATCTGCATCTCCAAAAAGTTGGTCAGCTGCAGGAAGCATGAAGTGCTCTAAAACTTCCTGGTATGTGGCTGCGTTGACCCTGGACCTCAGAAAACACAATGGACCAACACCAGCAGATGACATGGCACCCCAAACCATCACTGACTGTGGAAACTTTACACTGGACTTCAAGCAACGTGGATGAAGTGCCTCTCTTCTTTTCCTCCAGACTCTGGGACCTTGATTTCCAAAGGAAATGCAAAATTTACTTTCATCAGAGAACATGACTTTGGACCACTCACCAGCAGTCCAGTCCTGTTTCTCTTTAGCCCAGGCAAGACGCTTCTGATGCTGTCTGTGGTTCAAGAGTGGCTTGACACAAGGAATGCGACAGCAGAAACCCATGTCTTTCATACGTCTGTGTGTGGTGGTTCTTGAAGCACTCACTCCAGCTGCAGTCCACTCTTTGTGAATCTCCCCCACATTTTTGAATGGGTTTTGTTTCACAATCCTCTCCAGGGTGCGGTTATCTCTCTTGCTTGTACACTTTTTTCGACCACATCTTTTCCTTCCCTTCGCCTCTCTATTAATGTGCTTGGACACTGAGCTCTGTGAACAGCCAGCCTCTTTAGCGATGACCTTTTGTGTCTTGCCCTCCTTGTGCAAGGTGTCGATGGTCGTCTTTTGGACAACTGTCAAGTCAGCAGTCTTCCCCATGATTGTGTAGCCTATAGAACTAGACTGAAAGACCATTTAAAGGCTTTTGCAGGTGGTTTGAGTTAATTAGCTGATTAGAGTGTGGTACCAGGGGCCATCAATTTTGAACCTTTTCACAATATTCTAATTTTCTGATATGATGAATTTGAGATTTTCATTTGTTGTCATTTGTAATCATCAAAATTAAACAAAATAAACATCTGAAATATATGAGTTTGTATGTAATGTATGAATATAATATACAAGTTTCACTTTTTAAATGGAATTACTGAAATCAATCTACTTTTTCATGATATTCTAATTTTATGACCAGCACCTGTACTTATGGAACCGTTTTATTCCGAACATCACAGCTAGTCCCTCCTTATCCAGTTGTGAATAGTTTTTTTCCGCTGCATTCAATGTTCATGAGGTGAATCCTATGGGCCTCTCAGTTCCATCTGGCATGTGATGTGACAGCACCGCACCTACTCCATAAGGTGAGGCATCACATGACAGCACAATGTCTTTCTCTGGGTCGTAATGCACTAGTACTTGTGCAGACTGCATCATTTCCTTTGATTTTTCAAAAGCAACTTGCTGTGCTTCTCCCCACTGCCACCTCTTGTCTTTTTGAAGCAGTTTATGCACTGGAGCAAGAATTGTTGACAGATTGGGCAGGAACTTGTTGTAGTAGTTTAACAGTCCTAAATATGCCTTCAACTCTGTCACATTCGAAGGTGTAGGTGCCTCTTGGATTGCTTGCACCTTCTCATGAACTGGGTGCAATCCGGTTGCATCCACTTTATGACCCAGGAACATCACCTCCTCATTCATAAACAAACATTTTTCTCTTTTGAGACGTAGACCAGCCTCCTCCAGCCGTTCCAGCACCGTGGCCAGCGTCCGCAGGTGATCTTGGTCATCTTTCCCTGTGAGCAGGATGTCATCCAGGAAAATTGCCCCCTGGGGAATGCCCTGCAGCAATCCCTCCATTATCCGTTGGAATATCGCTGGGCTGGATGATACCCCAAAAGGTAGTACTTTGTATGTGAACAATCCCTTGTGCGTGTTTATGGTCACATACCTCTTTGCTTCCTCATCCAGTGGAATCTGGTGATAGGCGTGACTCAGATCCAACTTTGTGAACTTTTGTCCACCCGCCAGCGTAGCGAACAGGTCCTCAATTCTGAGAATTGTGTACTGCTCCAACTTGGATATTTGATTTACTGTCAGTTTGTAGTCTCCGCACAGTCTTACTGTCTCATCTGGTTTTAACACAGGAACAACAGGCGCCGCCCACTCTGCATGTTTTACTGGTTCAATGATCTCTTGGGCAAGGAGACGATCCAGTTCAGCCTCCACTCTTCCTCTCATGGCATAAGGAACAGGCCTAGCTTTAAAAAATCTGGGGACTGCTTCCTTGTCTATGTATATTTTTGCTGGGGGGCCTTTAAAATTCCCTAGTTCTTTATTAAACACCTCCCCGTATTTTCCCAAAACCTCCTCTAAAGTTTCCTTTCTAACATGGTGGATTTTGGTTTCTGGACTCCCCTGTACCTCTACTGGGTTCCCCTCCAGGATGTGGTGGACTTGGGGGGTTGATCTCCACTGTAGGCCTAACTTTTGAATCCAATAACGACCAATCAGACTGGGGCCTGACCCTGCTACGACTACTACCGGTAAGTCATGCACTCGTCCCTTATGATGCACCTTAACTAGTGCTGCTCCCACAACTTTTATTCTATGACCAGTGTAGGTTTTGAGTTGCACTTTACATGGGTGTAGCTTTGGTGCCTCTTTCCCCCTCAAGGTATTGAATACGGAGTGGTTCATTACTGTTACTCCGCATCCTGAGTCCACTTCGAACTGAGCGTCCGTCTCATTAACTGTTAGTGTCTCTATGAATGGAGCTACCGCTGGTACGTCAAGTTCATCTATTTTGTACAATGTGAACATGACTTCCTCTGCATCCATGCTCTCTTTGTCGTCCTCCCTCTGGCTGACGTAATGGGCTCCCTGTGTTCTCCCCTGTCTACTTGTCTGCCCACCACCCCCTCTAGTCTTCGACTGACCAGCTGGGCCTTTGGACCTACATACTTTCTTAATGTGGCCAATTTTTCCACATTTGTGACAGGTTTCTTTAATAAACCTACATTCACCCGCTGCATGGTGCTCACCTCCACATCTGTAGCAACCTTTATGCTGGAGCTGCTGCCGACTTGGGGTCTGTTTTGATGAAATTTTATGCACCACTTGCGGCGTCCTCCCATGTGATGCTGAAAAATCCAAAGATTGTAAGTCTTTTACATCTTTGCTGGCTGTTTCAATCGCCTGAGCTAACTTCAACGCCTTGTCAAAGCTCAAATCTGGTTCGGACAACAGTCGGCGCTGAATGCGGTCATCTCCGATGCCACAGACCAGTCTGTCCCGTATCATCTCCGACAACTTATCTCATTAATTGCAGTCTTGCGCCAATTTCCTCAGGACAGCAACATATTCCATGACTGTTTCACCATTTTTCCTGTTTCTGGAATTAAACTTGAAACGTTGCACAATCTCACTGGGTTTTGGGTTGAAATGGTCCTTTAATAACTTGACCAGCTCATCGAACGTCTTGTCTCCTGGCTTGGCGGGGCTTACCAGATTTCTCATTAGGCTGTACGTCTGACTGCCCACTGCACTGAGCAAAATAGCTTTCTGCCGACCTGCATCATCGATCTCATTAGCTTCAAAAAAATGGTGGAGCACCTCACAATATTACTCCCACGTCTGGGTTTGGGAATCAAAAGGAGCGGTACTTCCTACCATGCCCGCCGCCATGGTCCTCTGTTGATTTCCAAGTCCGTTCTTCTTTTTTTTTTTTTTTTAAACTTTGCAATATAGCCGAGAGGCTTGCTCATTTGTCTGCCGAGGAATCCGCTGTGCCTTTATCCTCGGCTTGACTTTATCCTCGTCGCCATTTATGTGGTAAATTACAAGAGACTTCTTATTCCACAGGAAGGTGGTTTATTTTTATAACATGAACAGCATACAGCTTCACACGGACTTTTCTTTTCTACTCTCTTTTTACTGCCCGCACTCTTCTTCTACGGTCCATAACAATACCCACAAGTAACAGCGCTTCCTAGTGGGCATGTATGTATTACACTTAAACTCCACAGTTACTACACAAATTTTTTTTTTTGCATCCCCATTTGAAGAGGTGGGGAAAAAAAATTTTGCCCAACCCATCCCCCAAAAAATTTATCAAAAGATTAACTGTTTTTTTTATGTTTTGTTTTATTTTCTATTACATTGGTGCTACCCCTATAGAAAATACTCAGAATCCATTTCAGATTTTATAACAGTTAAAATATTACATAAAACATCAGGTAGGCTAGCTCTGTGATTGGATACCCTCTGGACTCAGTGCAGTAGATTGGAAACAAAAGGATCCTAACTAAATTAACATCTCTGTTGGGTAATGTCAACAGAGATGTCTCGAGTTTTGCAACATGCATGAAGCTGTTGCTGAACTAGAGAGCTCCTTCAGTGACAGACTGCTGCACTCTAAATGCACCATGGAGCGTTATCACAGATCCTTCCTCCCAACAGCTGTAAGACTTTATAACCATCACTGCTCCCAACAACCTCAATAAGTTGTTACATTCATGCAGATTTTGCATAGTTTCTATCTTAGTCAGTTAAATAACATGCTGCTGTCATTTTGCCCATCTCTGATGTTGCTGCTATTTTCAAATGTCCATCAATGTAAAAAATGTCCACAGCTCTATATTGGTAAATGGTTATTTATTCTCCAGGTGCTCGGTATTTATATTGTTAAAACACTTTACAGTAAAGTATTTTTTTTTCTAGACTCTTCACAAGTATGTTATTCTTATTAATTCTTCTAAGGTCCACATTTGTGTGACCATTTTTTCTATCATCTTTTTCCTGCTGTAACACCAGAATTTCCCCAGATTCAGCGTTTTGTCTGAAACGAATGTTGATCGTGGTCAGGAACACAGGGGGGATTCATCACACTCATGTTCTCACTTACCCGATGATGCGGATACAGTCTGGAGGAGAACTGACTGTTTCCTGCTGTGAACCTCCTTTTATACAGTACCAAAACACTGCCATTACACAGTAGCTTTACAATAGAAAGACGTTCAACAGTCGTCTGGAACACGTCAAATACGTTGATATGCATTGTAGATAAGTTCTTGGTAAGTTACGCATAAGTTACCCATAGGCTTTGGATAAGCTAGACACCACAACTAATAAGTAACTTACACTTAACATATGTCAACAATCGGATAACTTACCTGTAACTTATGCCCCATGTATGAGCATATGCTGGCTAACGTAAAGAAATTTCTCAAATTTCTCGCCATGTGTCAAAATCTGCCAGCGTGTTCTAGCGTGCTTCAGCATGCTTTTACAAAACGTACCGATAACTTATCCAACATATGCCAACGTTTTTGCCAGATTTTTCGTATGTCAGGCATACGCTGGTCTAAATCGTCAAAGTGTGACAGGGGCTTAAGGTTTCTATAGGCAAAAATGCAATTTAGAATTTCTTTTATTACAATTCTGACTAGGAATGTTATCTTGCCCAGGAAGAATTCTACTTTAATGAATGGAAGAACACAGAATTGCCTGCCATAGCCCACTTAATATAAACCTACAAATTAAATTGAGTAATCTTCTCCTTCGCCATTTTCCTCTTCTTTGCAGCTGTAACGCTTTTTATATTTCTTTTAAACACATTTCTTTTTTATTTAAATTTCTTCATGAAAAGATCCAGTTCCATTGGGGTGGAATAAGCACTTCCCGATGCCTGTTGTCATGGTGACCACTCAATTCGAGGCTCCACTGATAATGGCTTTTTAAACTTGTCCCGCTACTTAGAGTTGATTGAACTAATTCAGAGCAGCAATTGTGAAACCGAAAACTGAGAGTCCCCGACTTCGGACAAGATCAATTGAGAGTTGTGGAGTTGAATCTGAGTTTGTTAACCCTGCTTTGTGAAACTGACCCTATGAATTAAGGTCTTGTAGAAAAACCTGGATCTGCAAGAGACGACTGATGGTGAGGGAGTCTGGTAACATAAATTAGGCATGATTTCTCATCTTGGGTCAGGTAATCTAAAGGCGTTGTAATGTTAGACTTATAAATTTACACAAATCTTAGAATCAGTGTCATGTGCGTGTGTTTGTGTGTCTTTGGTTATTAGACTCACAGCCAAGATGTCTGAAAAAAGAAAGAGAGACATAAGAAACTTCTTAAAAAGTCAAAGTGTAAGTTAAATTCAAAGAACTGTGTAACACCCCTCCTTAAACACCTTCACTGGATCCATAAAATACTATATCCACTGCAATTTAAAGCTGTCAATAACCTTGTAAAGTATATTTGTTTTATTAAAAGTGCTAATAAATCAAATGTATTATTGTTATATATTATTATTATCATCAAAACAGAAAAAAATACAATATATCAATGCAATCTTATATATCTAAGCTCACAATAACTGTAAAACTATGTGTTTTTAATCTACATGGATTGTTATACCCCAAATTGTTCAAATGTTCATGTCATGTATCCATGAATTTTGTCAGGAGAAGGATAGCAGAGATGCAAGCGAAAGTGGAAAACATAAATAGAGAAAACAAAGGAAATACATACAGAACTACTAGATACTTGAGTCCCCGCCCCCAACTTCTGAAATCAAAATGTCATGCGTGTGCACAGGTGTACCTAAATAACTGTTGTCCAATCAAAGAACTCCATACCTCTTTGGAAAAGTTTCATTCTACAGAATCCAATGATATGCACCAATTTGAGATAGACAGAATCCCCAAAGAATCACACGTGAGAGTAGTAGAGGTCATTGTAAATTACACAAAGGTACAGTTTCCAAATATTGGTGAGGCGTAGAACCGTAATACTGTAAGAGGAAGAAGATTTTAGGTAAATATTAGGATATTGATTGGAAATATTCCAGAAACTGAAAATATCTTAAAATGAAAAAGAACAGAAAAGATAAGACATTTTTGCTGTGCTTTTTTTGGGGCTTGAGGGGTTTTAAGGAAGATTAATGTTGTATTCTACACTAGTAGGCTATAATTTAGTTACAAACCTAATACGAAAAGTAAAGGATTAATTTCAGCAAAACAAATAAATCAAAATGTGTTTTGTGACTGTAGACTGTATGCAAATGTAAAAAGGAAAATTCCCTTGAAAGGCTTGTTGTAAATAGATCAACTGAAACCTTTTTTAAAAAAGGTTTGTACCATTTATTTGTATTTGGAAAGTCTTTTTGACACTGATTTTTCTAAGGTAGTTGAGTTTTGTGCTGCCTGGATTAATTAGAAAATTAAGGCAGTTATACATGGTGCAATTATCGGCTTTCATAGATGAAAAGAATTATGTAGAGGAATCTTTGGTTGTGGCTTTAAATCTCTGCAGTTACATCACGGTTCAATGACTGCAGTTTTTAGCATCTTTTGACCAAAGATGCTAAAAACTGAAGAATGACAATCTAACTTTGTGACAGTTGCTATGACCTACATCTAATGATGAGGCAATAGAAATGCAGCTGCTGTTGTAGATGCGATACATTAAGACCATTGCATTCATACAGATGAATGCAAGGAGATCTATTTCCAGGATTTTTTTTATGTTCAATAGAAGAGAAGCATGTCAAAAAGCAGTTGTCAGACCTCACATATTGATTGAAAAATCATAGCAGTAACCGTGGAAAGTAATCATGACAGAATAGCCTGATAAAAGCAAAATTACCACATTTGCTGTATTGAACCATAAATATGAAAGAGAAATATGTTATCATGCCTGAAGTAAGTGCAAGGATGTAGAAATTTTCATCTAAAAGAATGTATAAATGAGAATGATTTGCAACACAGAACTGCAAGAAAGATTTTTTTTGATTGTGGTTATGTTTTAGGAGGGCTTGGAATTGAAGATAGGTGAACAGCTTATTTTGTTAGTTTAACTAATCAATTGCTTACGAGCTAAGACAATAAGCAACTTTATCAGCATACATCAGATCAGACATGAAATCCATCTGCTAGAACTGTACAATGTGCAAATACCAAATTTGACGTGACAAAGATTAATAATTCCATGTCATATAAGTAGTGTACCAATAGTATTCTAAGGCCCCGTCCACACGAAGTCAAACCCTGGCCTAAACGCACAAATTTTTCACCAAACAAGCTTCTCATCCATACGAAGCCGGTGTTTCAGGGGTCTGTAAATGATCTTTTTTTTATTAAGCCTTCAGAGTGGGAAGATTTTGAAACGCCGTTTTCGCATTTCCATCTTTAAGCTCTAACCGCATTTTTTTTCTTACACGCATGCGTCATAGCGTCGCCTCTAAACACGCATGCGCGACACAGTATCAACAATGGCGCCGTACTGTGTTGAATGGTTGC